GTGAATGCCCCCTTTTGCTTTGAGAACTTGAAACAGGTTTGAGCAGAAACCCAGGGACCTTTCCTTTTCCAGTGTTGGTCCAAAAGGTGCCCTTAAGCCACAGGCATTGTAGATTGGAAAGTGCAAGGCAGGGCACAGAAATCAAAACCCATTCCAGGCAGTCTGCAGCCATCCGACGGGCATAACCCTTAGCGGGTCTCTTTAGGAACAGGCTTCGGCTAGCAGTAGCAGCACAAGCCCTGACCCATAAAGTAGTTTACTAACACTTTACACACTGTTGTCTAGGTGAGCACCTTCGGCAAAACCCAGTGCTCATAGGGCACATTACAGACTGGCCCTGCTTCCTCCCAGCAGAGTCCAGGTATGACCTCCAAAGCTAAAACATGGATCAGCCAATCCAAAGGGCAGTATAATGTGCCCCTTTGGACTCTGCAGAAACTGTAGAAAATTACATAGTTACATAGTATCTTGCTAAAAGAAAAAGAATCTTGATATAGGTAAAGAAAATATACTCTCTCAGAGGAGAGAAGATGTGCGTTTGCCTAGGACACTAGGCATGCTTTGAGTGGGAGGGGTTATACTAGGCTGTCCTTACAGCTTTGTTTGCCAGTGTCCAATCTCCTGAAGGCAGCAGCATCACCCAATGTACCTGAACACTTCATCCTGTGTACTCTTAATGTAAGATTATGTTTACCCTGTTGTTCATTAAGGGACACAGGAACAGTGCATTACCCTAGCATGTCCACAAGCAGTACCTGCAAAAGAGGTGGGCACCGCCCCCCCCCCAAAAAAAAAGAACTGACACCGTGTCTGAAAACTAAGGAAAGACCAAAAACCCCCCATAAAACTCGTTGGGCCATTTTAAAACTTTGTGACCAAAAATAACATACGTGAAGGCTGAAACATTAATCTTGAAAAACGTGATGTGAACTGAGGATCTGGTCGCAGCCTTACAGACCTGATATCAAAAATACCAGGAGGCACATACTGCCCTAGTGTAGTAAGCCTTAACAAGTAAAGGGGACATTCATCCTTCAAGGTGTATGTCTGGAAGATCTACTTTGAAATGGTGGAGTTAGAAGCCAGAGACTCAAAAACAGGAAATCTGACTTATTTAAAGATGCAGTGGATTTCAGTCAAACCAGAATAGACCGGACAACATCCAGACAATGTAGCACAACTTCCTTTGTGATTTGCTGAATTGGAAAACAAGGCATGACAAAACAAAACATATTTGTTGATATGAAAAGCGGAGACCATCTTTAGCAGAAAAGAAAGTCTCAAATACATGATCCCCTTGCCCTTATAAAGAAGCAAAGGGGGTTCCCTACAGGACTATGCAGTCATCTGAAACGTTCCTCCACCTAAGCAAACTGGACTAAGCTGAAGCATGACTGGTGTGGGAAGGGCTACATACCCTTGGCCTGGCCTACAGTTTCCATTCTCCTATGGGCAATGCTATATTGTCCATAGTAGTATACTGTTGTAGTATACTGTTCCCATGTCCCTCAAGGGACAATAGAGTAATAAGAATGTCATATGTCCTTGCTACACATACTTAAAAATATATTGTATATTAATACATATTGATACATTTTTTAATAAATAAGATCACTGACAACAAAATCACTTTATGCATTTCTGGCAGAGCTGGGCTTTTGGCATGGGTCACAGGAGAAATGTTGTCTCCACAATTTTTTTTTCAGTTCTCAACTGTTTCTTTATGCAAAACTGTGAGCAACCCAAGTGTTCTGTAAACATTGTGAATGGTGTTTGATAATCATTACCAGACTGTGCTATTAAGGAAGTGGCATTGGCAGATTTGAGAGAAGATAGAAACACAAAGTGGTCCTTCCCTGAAATGCATGAGGACTGCCTGGAAGGCCATAGCCAGTTTCAATGGAACTTTGTGGCAATCCGACAGGGGTGATAACATGTACCTGTTTTCACATCGGCTGCCAGCCACAAGAATCCAGTTTCCCCAACCATCGTTCAGGATGGAGCTGTTTCATAGGCTTGAGTCTTACCTGACACTTAAACATTGCCAGAAGTGCAAAGTTTTAAATCAGTATTAAAAAAAGACTAAGGACTAATGGAAAAGTAGACATTTTTTTAATCTCCAAGGTAATAAACTGTTCCTGTCTCCCTCAATGATCCTTTATACGTCAATTAAAGAATCCTAAACTCATGCAATACTTCTGTGTTCTTGATTGCACCTTCTATGACAAACACATATTTTCCCCTGGGTTACAGTACATGATAGCAACAATTGCAGAAGGTTAACAAATAGTTTTGCTATACCATAGACCACTATCAGTGAATGACCCCCATCAGACCAGGGCAGTCAGTCCACCACTGTAAACATAATAAGCTCAGCTACTAAAGTCACATATTAACCCTTTAGATCACTCCAGAATACAGGGTACCTCAATAATATAATTAAACATCACTAAACTACTTCACAGCCCGTTACTTGCTTTTGTCTGGCTCCTGAAAAACCTTGTGCCATTTCATGCTTCTGCTGCCAAAATCTAAAAGGTCATTTCAGACCTTTGGCTATGTGTAATTCTACCTCTAGGCTGACAATCAAAGGAAGTACTATTGAAACACAAAATATACACTTTAGAAATGGTCTGATGGCAGAACAGAACAGCAGCAACTGTACAAAGTGCACTAATACCTTGTTATGTAGTCTCCACAATTTCAACGCACATTTTCTTAGTTGCTACTAAGAGGCTGGTAATCCAAAACGTCTCTGATTTCTGCATACTTAACCAATCAAGTTTATCTTTAATTAGCACTACCGCAGCGTGCTGAAATGTGTCCTGAAAAGTGGTTCCCCTGGAGGCTGTGCACAACATAACACAGTTCCAACACATTCTTCTGCAGACACCAGGGAAAATAAATATTCAAAAACCAGGCACACTTCCTATGTTATGTTTTTACATCTAACATGAGGCAATGTACCATAGCAAAATATCCACAGAAGGTCCAAACAGCAAACTGCTAGAAAGAGAAGACATTCGAGGTCAAGAAGGTAAATGGCAATATGTAAACTCTGCTTTAAGTTCATAAGCGGTTCTGGGATAATGCTGTAAAGTGAACCTGTCACATGACTAATGCAGCAGCTGTTACCTTCATTAGTACACAGTGCACCAAAAATCACACAGCCATTGTCCTGTTTCCACTTTAATTTCTTTTTAAAAAGGAAATTCATAAGCTGCATACTAGTCGTGAGGCTGTCACCTCCTTCACAATGATATAGAACAGGTTCCTTGCTACCACAATTGCAGCCTCCATTAAAAAGACATTTAGTTTGACAATGTACTCCCTGTAAAGAGCAAGCTAACCTACTAAAGTGGGGATCCAGGAACAGAGTGTGGTGGTTAGTGAAGTGCTCACAGCTCAGAGGACCTGATCCACAGCTGAAAAGTCTTGGCAAAATAACATAAGTAACTGAGGTCTCTGATTTGGTCTTCGATTAACAAGTACAGAGCAAGGGTTAAAATACCATGTGTTGCAACCATCACACAAAGTACAGCGTCCGATCCTTCCCATAGTCCACCCTCCTTAATAACCCACCCCCCCAACACCAGTTACCCATGAAGTGTACTAATCACCACGCTCTATCGATTGTTGGACTATTCCAAGATCAAGTACCTCCTATCTAGATTCTTCTAGCAATCAAAACCTGACAAAGGTTCTAACCACTTACCACTAAAAAGTTTGGGGTTTAAATATACTCTAAAAAAGAAAAATATTTGAATAGGTAAACCAACAATGGGGTCTACCACGATGTACATTTATTATACACTCACTGGCCACTTTATTAGGTACACCTTGCTAGTACTGGGTTGGGCCCCTTTGGTCTTCAGAACTGCTTTAATTCTTCGTGGCATTGATTCAACAAGGTGATGGAAGCATTCCTTAGAGAGTTTGGTCCATACTGACATGATAGCATCACACAGTTGCTGCAGATTTGTCGGCTGCACATCCATGATGCGAAGCTCCACCAGCCTGAACCGTGTGATACAAGGCAGGATGGATCCATGCTTTCATGTTGTTTACATCAAATTCTGACCCGACCATCCGAATGTCGCAACAGAAATCGAGGCTCATCAGACCAGGCAACGTTTTTACAATTTTGGTGAGCTCTTGCAAACTGTAGTGAACCATCACATGCTCAAACAATTCATCCCCACACAGCTACCTCCTCATGTATAATTTCCCCCTTCTTTCAGATTGTAAGCCCTCAGGGGCAGGGCCCTCCTTACCATCCTGTCTTAAATTGTATTGTAATGTCTTCCTTACATTGTAAAGCGCTGCGCAAACTGTTGGCGCTATATAAATACTATGTAATAATAATAATATGTGAGTTACTGTTGCCTTTCTATCAGCTTGAACCAGGCTGGCTATTCTCCTCTGACCTCTTACATCAACAAGGTATTCTTGCCCACAGAGCTGCCACTAGCTGAGTATTTTCTTTTTCAGATTATTCTCTGTAAACCCGAGAGATGGTTGTGTATGAAAATTCCAGTAGATCAGCAGTTGTTAAAATACTTAAACCAGCTCATCTGACACCAAAAACCATGCCACGTTCAAAGTCACTTACCTTCCCTTTCTTCCCCATTCTGATGCTCGGTTTGAACTTCAGCAGACCATCTTGACCATGCTTACATGTATTGAGTTACTGCCATATGATTAGCTGATTAGATATTTGTGTTAACAAGCAGTTGAAGAGCTGTACCTAATAAAGCGGCCCGTGAGTGTATGTGTTTGTCTGTAGCGGTTGTCTATTACTGCAGCTTTTGAATTTTTCTTTTAAACCCATTACTACTGGTGTTCCAAAGACACACAGCTGACAGTTTTGAACATCGCGGTTTACACTGTAACAGTGTGACCTAAAACAAATTATAGGTTATTTCCAGAGCGGTTATTTGCTCCTAACGTCATATAGTGTACATTGTTATTTGATTAGCTAACACCAAAGCAACACTTACCATCCCTTGTCATCATCTTCTTCTATATCAGACACTATTTTTTCTTTGGATGGTTCAGAAATTGCTTGGGTGAGCTTCGACTTAAACTGGTCCAGAAGAGCCAGTGTCTAAAATGTAAACACGTTCAAGTCTTATAAGCTGAATGATTAGGCATTGCATCAATAATTATTCATAAATTCTTTAACATAATGTAAATTTTCTCAAAAAAACAGTTGGGCTTTGCACAGTTACATCACTTGCTGATAAACACAAATGCATAAATATATGTAGTGACTAAAGCTAATCTACATTAGAAGTTACAAACACTTGCCTAGTTTGTACAGTAGTAGACTGAATTTAAACTGAACATGCGCCAATGTCCAGAATTACCTGTCAGTACAAACGTTTACATTTTGAATATTACATTTTAGAGTAATTGGCGAAACTGATGTCCCCAACCATTCACAACACATTGCTTGGTATTTGACGTCATTCAAAAAAGCTATATAGCAGGTGTTTGGTTCTTAATTTTATTTCAAGCAAAAAAAAAAAAATTAATTGTGGCACCTAAAGTAGACTTAAATGCCATCATTTTGCCACTTTAATTTTCATTTATGGGACAAGCAGTGGAGAGATGGACAGCATTTGTTTTACCTTGTCCTTGCGCTTGATACATAAAGTGTATGTCTGAACAAAATAAAAGTGAAAAACAACAGTGTTCAATACATCTGTACAATACATGCACATTTTCTCATGGTTTTGTCTCTTTAACCCCTTCATGACTGGAGACGTACAATGTACGTCCCCATCATGAAGTGCCCAAATGACTGATCACTTGCACTGTGCGTGATCAGCTATTTGGAGCTGTAAAAAGCCGGTAACTCCTGAGATCAGCGGTTACCGTTCATTAATGGATAGCTCAGTATTGATACAGCCATTATTGAAAGAATTAAGCTTTTACAGATACCGCATCGCTGTCAGAGGTCGAGTGACTGACAGTGATAACAGAGTAGTGTGAACCGCTCTGCTATCACAGTTTTGACAGCTGTGATAGTTTTCACAGTTCTGGGAACAATCACAAGTCTTTAGTGACATCTGAACCTGACATGCAGCAGAATCAGAATGTCAGGTTCAGTGGCACTAAGGTTATTATTGGCTGTTCCTAGGTTTGGAGCAGCCTAATAATATTCAAGAAACGTACACCTTTTTGTCTTTTTTGCGATCTTACACGCGGACTTTCTTTGGATGTTTTCATTCTTATGCAAAATGTATAGGATATTGGACTATTATTTTATTAAATATTTTTAATACATCACCTGTTGCTCTCTGGATGAGCCTTTCACTGCATTCTTTTTCTTGCAGTCTTCATATTTTTCCTTCCCCTTGAGATATTCGTCCAGAGCGCTATTAGCCACAGTTCTTTCAGCTACAAAAAAAAAGAAGGTAATATTGGCTTAGTTTGCCATCCCCACTTTAAAATGATATGGCAAACAGGATGTATAGCCTAGTCACATTAGATAAATAATCTAAATATATACCTTGCATTAAATCATCTAACATGTAAACTGATTTAAATATATGAAAAATATCAAACTAAAAATCTTGCGATCTATGTTGTTGCCATTAACTGACATTTTATACAGCATCATGTGATGGCCACGTTTTTCTAAGCCAATACAAAGGTTTTATATACATCAGAAGTAGGATGGACTATCACAGCTATTTAGAAGCAGAAGTGGGGAGGGAAAAAGAAGCAGGAAGAACTAAGCTTAAATGATTAACATTGTCCATGCCAAAGTCAGTGAGGTGCCGTGCCAACACAAGTAAATATACTGCCAATATATAAGAAAATAAAATTCAAATAGTAAGCTGGCATTCTTTGGAGGTACATGTGCCAAATAGCCTAGCCAAAAGGGATATCTTTTAGAAAAATTAAAATGTCTCATAGTAATATGATTAATAACATACACACACAGAGCCAAAATCTGCCCTATTTCCAGCCACCTTTGATAACTATACTTATATGGCTATATAGTTAAAACACTACAAACAGTTCTACCCTGATGTAACATGGACTAAAATATAAGTGATAGACTCACAAGGTTTTTGTCTGCTAGGAATATCAGACTTAAAGTGAACCAGTTTGTTGCCCATGCAAGGAACAACACCCATTAACAAAATTAAAGGAGAACTATGAGGTGAGTGCTTTTCACTCACCTCATAGTTCTACCCGACCTGTGACAATGAGACTGTCACAGGTCGGCTCAGTAGATCGGGAGGTGAGCGAACACATACCTGCGTTCGCTCACCTCTCGATCCTGTCACGGCTTTATGCCGTAAACAGGGGAGGGGCTGGATTCCCCCCTCCCCGCTCAGATCCGCCAGCGCAGACTGGCGGAACGGAAGGGGGCGGGTACAGCTGGCTCTGCCTCTAGATAGGCAGAGCCAGCTGTCAGTCACGCAGCTGGGCGGATCCCGGCATCATTTTCGGGATCCGCTTCAGCTGCGGCGTCTCAGTATACCGCGAACAGTAGCTCGCGGTACACTGCATCGTCTCAATATACCGCGAGATACAGCTCGCAGTATACTGAGCCTAGGGTGACGGGAGAACTATGGGGAAAAGCCTTAACCCCATAGTTCTCCTTTAAGGCCTGGTTCTCTCCTAGGCGATTGGATTTTTTAGCTGGGATTTTTTTGCGCGATCACCGGGCCCGGAACATAAAGTTCCGGGCGCTAAGTCGCCTTATACATTTAGTCTTGCTTTGGGAAGGCAGGACTAAATGTAGTGTGCGGAAGCCGCGATGTCGCCACGATCACGTGTAAAATGTGTGCAGCCTGTCCATCTTCCAATCCCCCTCCGCCCAACCTCTCTCCTCTGGTTCCGTCCTCCCCCCGCCGAGTCTCTCCTCACGGGCCGCCGATGCAGGGAGCAGAGCGGCAGGGTTAAAACTAACCCTGCCGCTCCCTGTATACAGTGAGAGGGGAGAACTGTGCTCTTCCCATCTCAGCTGCCACAGGAGCTCCAGCACAGGGCTGTGCTAGAACTCCTGTATTGGAGGTGGCAGGGTCAATAAAGAGAACCTGTCACCTCCAAAGGCTATCACACAGGGGCTTGTTAGCTAGCTCCTGTGTGATAGCAAAAAAGTTAAGTGAAAAAAAAAAATTATAAAAAATAAGATAAAAAAATTATTAAAAAAAAAGTAAACGATAAGCTAAAAATGTAAAAAAAAAAAAGTGATACAAAAGTAAAAAAAATAAAACTAACCCTGCCATCCTCCGTTGATGGGGGGGAGGTGGGGTGCATTGCGGAACCTGAAATCGTGCAGTCCCCTCTGCATAGAGATGTCTATGGGACCAAAACTGTGTGACAAACTCCCGAAAATAGCTCCTGCACTTTTTTGCGTAACAGTCGATTTCGCCTGCATGACGCAATGCAAAGGTGTAAACAGCCTCCTTTGAATAGAATTAGACACGCGTTTGCGGCTATAACCACAATTACAACGTGCAACAACCAACCAGACAATCGTGTATGTAGTTTTTTTGCATGCTGCTGTCTGCACGTATGAGCACACAGGTGTGAATAAGCCCCACTAAAATGCATTGCCTTTTGTTTTTTGCGTGTTTTTGCGCAGAAACAGCTCAGGTGTGAACCAGGCCTTAGAGGAGCTAGGAAGGAGGGGTGTGAGCTGTGTTTTACTCAGCATTTGACTCATTGAAACTTAAAAATGAGCCATTCATATGGAATGAGTCCCTAAGCAAACTCATTCACTAGTGCATGTAAATTTAGCTCAACAGGGTGGGTAAAAATACAAAATATTAATATGAAATATCTCATTCACCAGACAATAAAAAAGGAAATACATTTTTAAAACTTGTATTGTAAAAAGGTTATATTCATTCAATCATGACCATTAATAAGCAGGAGGTTTAGAAGCAAACCTTTTTACAAGAAAGGTCAACACTGATATTTTTAGCAAAAGATAAGGGACCATTCACCAGAAAATGGCATTGAATGTTTTAAGCTATTATTAAGCCTGTAGGAAAAAAAACCCCCACAAAAGACATTAATGGCACCGCTAGAACACCAACATGGATAACCAAGCCTCTGCAAGAACCCAACTTAGAGCTACCTCTTTGATTTCTGCCTTGGACTTGAAAATATGGTGCTATGGAAAAGCCAATGAAAAATCATAAAAACGAAATTATGATTGCAATAAAATAAAAAAAGTGTATTGTTTGTAGTCGGCATAAGACAGCTTGCGACTCTCCAGCTGCAAAGGGTCATGGAAGGGCCTGCCAGATGTGCTAGGCTCTTGTAGTCCCTCCATGGCTGGACACAGTGATATGTTGAGATGGGACATGAACTGTAGTTCTTGTTCATTACTTCAACTGGATTCAGAAATGACTGAGCACATGTTTAGATGCAAGATTATACAGCTGCCAATCTTTGTGTTGTAACCAACAAGTTTCAGCACACTCAGGTAATGTTCTTGGTAGCCCTGCAGATCCCACCTCTCATGTTGATATTGGCATGTAATGCTGGCCATCACAGTCATGCAGGTAGTGGAAGGTGATAAGATAAGAACATGCAGGTAGTGGAAGGTGAGAGTCCCAACCCTTTCCATCCCAAAAAGTGTCAAAATTTACAGCCCAGGATTAAAGCATCCTGGTTGCATAAAAATGCATCTAAAAGGAATATATGATTTGTAGTCTGCATTGTACCGCTGGAACCTGTCAGGAGTGTTCGGGTAATGGAAGGTAAACCTTAAAATAAAGTAAACCCAATCTAAGATAAAAATGGAGGCCAACATTGATGACTTCCGTTTGAAAATATTAGTTGCCAGGTTCACTGGCTTTTCTTCTGGCTTCCTGTATAAGATCCAGAAAAGTATGCAGATTAGGTAAGTGGAAGATAATTTATAATTCCGTATCTTACTTGTTCTGGGCCAGTGATTTAAAGTATTGAAGCAAAAGAGCCAACATGAGAAGCAGACAACTAGCATTTTCAGAAGAGCTCAGCAATGACTGCCTTCATGATTCTCCCATGACAGATTTCTTTTAAAGTAGACCATAAAATGCACAAACAAAGTGCAGCCAGCTGTTTAGGATTCCAGTTGCATATGTATCAGATCCATCAAAAACTGCAGCAAATGCAGTGATAAATGAGATACTAGAAAAGAGCCTGAGTCAGACTGCGCCTTTTAAGACCCCCCTTCCTTTCGTCCATGTTTTGTGGTTGTTATACTTTAGCATGTAAGTATCGTGAACAGTGGAGCACAGATTGTATCAGTGTGTCACTAAGCGTACAAGTCTGCTTACCAGATGTTGCAAGATGTCCAACTTATAAGCATTTTAGGTTTCCAGGTAAACCAAGCATGAATGTATGCAATACTGTTCCCACCAGATGTTCATGACTATTCAGAAACCACGAAGAGTAGCAGTGACTTTGAATATTAATACTGGAGTTAATTCCCATGTAATATGGCAAGCATATGAAACCCAATCAGTGAGTGAGTAGGAGAAGTAGTTGGGGTAAGCGGTTTGATTGCCACATTGGTTACTGTATATTACTAAGGGCTATACCTACTAAAAAAAACTAAAAAACTAAAAAAAACTATAGCACCATCATGGACAAAAATGTAGTCATACTTGGTAGGCATTAAAATAAAATATTTAAAGTGAAATTAAAATGTAAAATGTTTGGATCTATTTCAGATGCTGATTAAATCAATTCCAGTGGATGCCGCTTCTTGATTTCTAAAAGTTTTAGCTTTCTGAAGAATCAGCTGGTCCCCTGAGCACTGGCCCTGATATCCTGTTTTAGGCTAGGTTCACACCTGGGCGTTCTTAATAGGCGCTGAAATCTGCCCCTACACGCGAAAAGAAGCTCAAATACTTTTCTGCTCGCAGGGCGTTTTTAAGCGCGACAAAACCGGCTGAAATACGCCCAGGTGCGAAACATGCCCATAGGGATTAATGGGATTTCACTTCTTGAGCGTTTTTCAGCGCTTCGATCAGCGCTGAAAAACGCCCAGGTGTGAACCCAGCCTTAGGGTGGCTCCTTTCCCTTACAGGGTTCTATGGAGTCACCCTTGTGTGTGCTAGTAAGCTGTGTGTGTCTCCATAAACACACAGGCACAGCAGGGTAAGGCAGAATATCATTCTCTAAGCTAGTAGATGAACTATTAAAGACTGCTTTGTCCTTTGTGATCTTGTATTGAACAGGAAGTTGGAACAGTAAGCCGAGCTGAAAGAGTTGGAGCCAGCCGTTTGGAAACAGGATGAATGTGTTTGGTGCAAAAATTTAAAGAATGTATATTGTATCGTATTGTATATTGGCAATATATATTTGTATGATCTGGATTAATTACTGAAAAATGTTTGGGAGTTTAATATTAGTTTAAAGCTAAACTCCAAACAGATTAT